TTACTGTTTTTTTCTCTACTGCATTTTCACTCATAAATAAGAGAAAAGTTAATTGGACCACCACCTTGAGTACTCAGCAGAGAATTTTTCCTCTCATTCTGATATCTTCTAGTTAAGCAAGCCCTATGCTTTTAAACTGTGCAAGCTTGCATTGCACAAGATGGTTTGGGCATGGAATGAAAAGTATTTAGCACTTTTCAGTCTAAAAATCAGAAAGAGAAATCAAATAACAGGAAGAGAAAGGATTAAAGACAGTCTCTCCATACTTTTTAGACTTTCACTCAGAATAGACTGTTATAATATTAGCTTGTACTTGCTTTCATGCCTCTTGCTGTGTGTAAATGAATTAACAAGAGGAAACCATATTTCTTCCCCTTTCCCTGCAAAAATAATGACAAAATCTTGCTATCAAACTCCCTTTAAAGTTTTCCACATACTTCTGTTCAACTTTGCATTAGAGAGCTTCCTTTGAACTACTATGTTATTGCCACACTATCATGGAAACCTTAACTGCTAGAAGACAAGTACAGTTAAATGAAGCACTTCTGTGTCCTCCCTCTCTCCAGTCTCAGCCTGTACTTTCTTTCCTTCTTTTGTGATAGAGTATTTGCAAGGTTAGATGGCAAACCAGCCCAGCAAACCTAGCTGTATCAAAATTAATTCAGTTCCCTTTTTCTAGGATAATTTTAAGCCAATTTGTCCCCATTTCTTGCCCATTTCTGTGCCAGCATAAGCACATGAAGGAGGATGGGAATGAGCTGTGAGTCAGGGCAGGTTGGGAACACTTCCCAAAGCAGTGGAATTGACTTAAAGTTACAGTTAACCCACAGCTTCTGACACAGTTGTAGCCAGTATCAGGTATCCCAACATCAACTCAATAAATTATTCCATTAAAAAGTCTATCAAGAGTGACATCCTGAAAAAGAAAACTTCAACTGGTTGATAATTCGGTATTTTCTGACAAGAGGAATGACAGAGCAACTTTTTCCACAATATCACTGGGAAGCATTTTCAACACACAGCATACTGCACACAAGTTTTAAGCCACTTACAGCTCCAGAGAGCCTGGATGGTGCTGTGAGAAGTAAAAAACACTTGTTTTCCAGAGAGCCCCTCTAGGGTTGCCAGGCTCTCTCAGCAGACTGAGCAATGCCACAGTATACTGAGGCAACATGATGAGCCCAAGGAGCTGGTATGACAGCTGTGAATTGAAAACTCACTTGTGGGACACTACACCAGGGATTGGCTTATCCTTTCCATGGTATGGAACAGTACAGTTCCAATTGTCTAATGAGAGCAGTAGAAGAGCTAAGTAGGATTTTATATTTTGCCTAATGAGGTACGCAAAAAATTGCTAATGGATTTAACCTGCATAAATTTCTTCTAGCATATATATTCCCATGCACCCACACACATTCACTATAGAACTCAATTGCTAATGATGAATTTCATTTGTTCCCCCATCAGAATTAAGAATATTTAATAAATTGTAATGCATAGTTAATTATCACATTGGTAACTTATATCTTGTTTATATTGAGGCTGGTTGGGGGAAAAGAGGTCTCTCCTTTCACAGCTGTACCAGGACAGTATAGCAAGAACAATGTGGATGCAGACACTTGAAGATGAGGCTTGCAACAATTACATATAAACTATGCTAAGCAGCCAAAGTCTGTACTTCCAAGGAAAGATAAATTTTCTAGGTATGTAAAGCATCTTTAACATAATAGCTTTTTCTCCAGGACTACAAAAATATTAAGTATAATCAAAACAGAACACTGACAAACCCTTAGCAAATCTGGGAAAAAACATGTTAAGTGGTTCATTGTTACCAAGGATTCATTCTATTGCCAAGTCACTGAATTTTCCACAGAAGAGAGGGAAAATAAGAAATACATTCCTCAGAAAAGGAAATGCATGCAATGCATGGAATATTACAAGTATTTTCCTTCTGGGGTGAAAAAAGGAGAGGGAACATACCCAAAGTGCAATTCAGCTGTATGAGCACAGCTGAATTCTTGGAATGGTGTGAAGCTACACATTTCTGTCTCAAGGATCTCAAGTCTCTTGCCACTGGCAATAGTACTGAATTTTCTTCTGAACTACAGCAAGTCCTCCTGCACTGGACAATTATGCCATCATTCTAGTCAGTGAGTGTCTCTTATGTTTCTCCTTTCAGACAGAGTAGGTCCTAAACACAAGTAGGCTCTGAAGTATTGCATTACTCTATGCATTAAACGTCTTGCTGTAGGATTACTGCATCTGAGCTGTGTTTTCAGGAGGTTTCTATTCATTAAAACAGCACTGTGAAACTGTCTGTTTCTATGAGTAAAGGAGGAGTTGGAAACTAAGCAGTTCAAGAGGTGGGCAGCTCTAGAGAAGCTACTTTCAGAATGAATATACTAAATGATATTTAAGGTCCCTTCCAAGCCAAATAATTTCATTAATTTGGCCCATTCTTGACTAGTTAAATCCTAATTTAACTTCTGTAACTCCTTTTTGGTGAAAATTATTCTTTCATTTCTATGGCAGTCAGCACATCCAATTCAAAGTAACTAGCAAGGTATCTTTGGACTGTTTGTTGAACAAAGGTTTGAAAGGTGAGAGGAAGAAAGGAGAGAGAAGAAATTAAAACAAGTGAGCATCAGTGAGCTGGTAGAGGTTTCAGCAAGGTCTGCCACAGCACTACCTCTGGATATCCTCTTGGGGTAAGTCATAAAAACACAAGTACAACAGAGAACAGATAGGTAGAAAATGGAAAAAAACACAGCTAGAGATTTGAAACAGATGAATACAGCTACAGACTTCAGAATAAAACATTTTTGGATTTCTGAATGCAACCATTCAATATAACTTACAAAGATTTGTGTTCTTTACTAACATATATCCCCAAATCTCTATTGTTACCTGCATTCTGCCTTTACTTCTTCTTCCCTACAAATTTATATGTCAAATTTACTGAAATTTAATGCATAGATTTCTTTACAAGTTAAATACCTCAGAAATGGCTTATAATGACAAATAGCTACATTAAATATAATACCAGATCACAACTTTTATACCTGAGACTTATTCCCTGAACAATATAGACTATTAGTATTCCCATGACTCAATACCATGCAATATTTTATTTAAACTTCTATAATCTAGTGTGCCTAAAAAAATTATTTTAGATAGCAACTAAAACAATAAGAAGAGATATAAACCATTATATTCTGTGTCCAGAGCCTATCACATCTCAGCTGACAATAAGAATTTCTTTCCTGAGCTACCTATTATCTATTCAGGAGATATATATAAATAACAGGACCATCTGGCTACTTGCAATGGAGGTGACAGTGCTCACCTTTGCTGCCCCTAGTCTGTGCAGACACGAGCATGGAGGTTTGATATTCCAGATATGTCAGCCTTGTGAGGCTGAACAGTTGCAGTGCTCTTACTGTACAGGAGCAGGGCACAGTTTATTCCTGTCTTTAACCAGCACATTTCAGGACTTGAGTTATTTGAATGCCCTTCATCAATGAAGTTATTCCATAACAAAGGGTAAGAATTTCAAATTAAATATGAATGCAGAGTGACTCTGTGAACACTTCTTTTGAAAGCATAAGTCACCTTCAATATTGGAATCACGTGAAGATAAGTTTATTATTTTTACAGAACAACCTGGTGTATTCAAGACACACTTTGCTGTGACAGTTTTGACAGTGGTTTACATATACATGTTTTTTTTGACAGAAGACAATGTAAGAATAACAAATTAAGTTATATTGATTTTTTGGTTTATATCTCAAATGAAAAAACAAGTAATAAATAACAATTGCTTCTGGTTTCCATAGCCCAGTCCATTTTTAGCAAACACATGGGCTAGTTTGCAATAGACCTTGGAGCAGTTTTGTCCCAGACTGCAAAAGCAATTATTTCATAAGTGCTGTAAATCACATTTTTGTTGTTTAAAAGAACTTGAATTGTTTACAAGGCTTTTAGGTAAAGTTCTTAGAAATAATATTTGCAAATACACTGTGATATACAATATGGCAATATGGTTTTCTATATAATAAGAAGGTAATTCAGATATGATAAATATATTCTAATTATGAGCTACATTTGTGAGCCTGCCAATTCCCACTGAAATCACAAGAATTAGATTACTCCAGAAGCATAAAAACTCTGGATTCCAAATTATTAATTTTAAGTAGTTAGAAAAGGGGACAAGGCATAACTGATAACTGGCTGAAGGGTTAGTGCGAAGAATTCTTTTAAAAGGTATTTTATGTTCTGTTAATTTTATGTATTAAATGCCACTTTAGGAGGTTTGGGAGTTTAGCTGCACCAACTGGTTTTCACTGAATTAGAAGAGAATTCTCTCATGGCAGTGGGAATGTAAATCCAAAGGAGTAGATGAGGAGATACCTTGCTTTTAATTCTTTGAGTAAGCTGCTGTCATGATAAATTATAGGAAAGAAACCCTGGAGCTGTGTCTTTTTTTCTTTTTTTTCAACACCTAAGAACTTCAGAAAGAAGCCAACTAGGTCATAGCTAGCCACAACACAGTATATCAGTGTTAGGCAGATTATATGTAAGTAGGTTAAGTGAGTCCATATATTCAGCAACTTCTTTACTGACCATGTACAATGATTTACAGGTGCCTACACTGGAATAATTCTACAGTTGCAACATGATTCAGAGCCAGAATATCCAGGAAATGTACATGGAAACACCTATGGAGCTTCTCATGAATAAGTAACCTGTTACATTTTGTGATGTTTAAGACCAAATACCTGACCTAAAGATTGACAGAACACTGAGGCATGGCTGCAGACATGACTGACCAAGTATAGGAAACTTATTGAAAATGTTGATTAAATTTATACATTGGCCTATCAGATATGTCACGGTAGGTTATGTCATTCAGATTTCATTGTGTCACATCAAGCCTGTCAAATTATAACAGTGCCTGACTGGCAAAACTGCATCTAGAATCAAATTTGATTTTATCTTACCTATTTGGGGATTTTGAAAAGCACAGCAGATTATATGTCCTTTAAAGTGTTGTAACTTTCACCACAAACTTGTCAACTTGCTGGTCACCTGAAAAAGAGAATATTCACAAATAAATGCCACGTGTCATACAAACATGCAGTAAATTGAGACCAGACAAAATTATAAAGTCAAGGTAACAGATGAACTGTGTTTATAAGTGTCTGAGTATCAAATCTGACTGGAATAAGATACTGAAAGTTGTGAGCTTTACAACTCAAGCATTAAAGCAGTAGGATGGGTTCCCCAGAACACACTGAAGTCATAGCATCACACACATTTATCTGACAGTACAGCTTCATGGTTAAGTTGCCAACACAATTTATTAAAAAGAAAAATGTGTCAATACCTAATGATTTTATGTGTATTTTTATGCATTAAACAACGACCCTGAGGTCCACAGGATCACTGCCATACTGACTGAAATAGGACCTGAGTCTGCCTTACCTTGCTCTTGTTTTCAAGGCAGTTAAGACATCTGTATTTTCACACCACTGAAATAAAAGGCTTCAGAATTGGTGAGAAGGAATTTTAATTTTTTTTTTAAAGAACATGTTGTACAGTCTAGTTGAAATCAACTTGCAAACTACTCTAATGCTGGCATGTTTCATGTTGTGCTGCCAGCCTTTAAAGCTGGGGAATCATCCAAACCACAAAAGATTTTCTGCTTCAAAACCTTTTAGCCACAAAAATATGTAGTTTTAACAGGTGTGCTTTTTAAGCAATCTGAAGAAAGTTTACCAAAATGGAAATGCCAGTCAGAGAGTGATACCAAAATTATCTATCTCAATTGCATACAGAAGTCTGAACCCTGGAAACAAGAACTGAGGGCAATGCTCCATGTTACTGTTAAGGATGTCCTTTGTTTGAAAGGAGAAAGCGGCTGCCTGTTCAAATCTCACACACATTTTGCGTGTCACCAAGTAAACCCTAGGGTTCTCAGTTAAATAAAGTTCAGCACTGGAATCTAATAAAAATGGTGAACATATCCCAAATAGCAGCCACATGATGGTGGAAACCATCTCTTTAGATCTGCAAGTAATTAATGTCTTCTAAATGAAAAACATTCAAAGATAAAGCACTTTCCTTGCAAATGAACATCTATAATGCAACACATTAAAAGAACCAGATTCAGCTCTCGTCCTTCTAAACATCCAAAACAGATAAGACAAAACAGGAACATAGTTTATTCACATTCTAAAATTGTGCAAGAAATATACTAATTTAAGTTATTTTTATGAAGGATTTTTTTTTTCACTATTTTGCCTCATTTGTAGCTGTTTTACAATGGTAAAGACATATAAGACAAAGTCATGCTTCCAAAATTATCTAATTGACACTGAGAACTAAGGTTATTCAGAAATGCCTTTTTTATGACATTGCCACATCTCCACTGGAAAACAGGAAAACACACAATAGATGTACTCATGGAGCTGGAAATAAATGCTTGAGGAAAAAAAATTAAATGGTGAGTGTCATTCAATTTGGCACTCAAAGTACTTCTCACTCCTTCTAGGAGGCTGTCCTTGTCATAAGATAATGAAGAAAGTGAATGATACCCCTTTTTTTGTCTCTAAATATCTTGCTTCTAGGAATATTTTCCCACAGTTTCTACACTGAATACTATTTTGTGTTATAGGTAGAGCAAATTAAGAAACCTACTTTAAGAAAAAAATAGTGCTCAATAGAAGTAAATGTGATTCATTCTGATAAAGTAAAAATTTTTAAATATTCAGAGTGAATTACAGGTAATCCTATTTTTAAATTAAGTCGCTCACTACTTACAAATACCTGATTAAGCACTGATGTACAGTACTTGCTCTTTCTTCTTAAATTCAGATATCTACTTCATTTACATGCAATATTTTAAATGCATTTATTTAATACAAAGCCTACCTCTGTACTACAAATTGCTTTTACTTGTCATGAATTCTAATGCTCATTTTTTATTCTGCTTTGAAATATCCAGCTACCCTTGGCTTTCTTTTCTCTCAGGCTTTGATATATTGGAATCATTTCCCCAGGCAGCAATCAGTGTTGATAAAAGAGTTTGAAACTCAATTCACAAACACACAGCATATTTGTGGGTAAGAGAACTAGTACTTTATTTCCACTGTGTATCAAAACAAACATGGGAATACTCCTTTCAATAGAACTGAATTCACACAGCAAGGAAGACATACTGTGGATTTCACAAGTGGTGCTGATTTACAGCATTTAGGGGGTTATTTTATTTCTAGAGATAAAGTTCTATATGTGCAACTAACAGCAACACATCACCTTCAATCACAGAAGGACACAAAGAGCAGAAGGAACATCACTAAGTGCATGCCATCATTCTCTGCCTTTCCTCTTCCCTCCTGCATTTGCCCAGCATTTTCTGCTCTCCTAAACACATTCCCACAGAGGCACCACTGGTATTGCTGAGGGGTTCAGCTGTGCCCTGTGCTGGAGTGGCTCCAGAACCATCTGGAATCCCACATGAAGCCCCAACTGCTCCACAGAGACCCCACAGCAACACCTGGACAGGACCCTCAACATCACTTTGCACCTGGCAGTCCCCCCTCAGCCACAGAAACCACCACTGTGGCATCAGCCAGGACTCCCATGACACCCCCAGAATCACTCCTTCCTTTCACAAACAGCAGAAAACCCAACCAGCCCCTCAAAAATGCTAATCAAAGTTGAATTTACCTTTCTCTCAGCAACAGTAATTAATTGTGAAAATAACTGTTTTACCCTAGTGCATTTATGTTCCGTATTTCAACAGCATTTCACATGCTCTGTAAACCAATCTGTCTTATCCACAGCCTTCCAAAATAACAGATGAAAACAGTAATACATTAAATTACAGAATTCTGTTGTTTTTTTCCAAGAAACTTTTGGGATGAACAAAATACAAAGCAGATTGCTAATCTGAGTTAAAAATGTAAAATCAGCAGGTAGGATGAAGTCTTCGACAGCGTCAGTCTGTCTTACAGCCATAGCGATGCCTCCATATACCTGAGCCATTCTAGAGAATATCTTGTAAATATACCACAGAAAGCCTTCCAAAGATAAAGCCAAAAAAAATCCCCTCAGGCAAGAGCAGCAAAGCAGAGTCTGCCTGGGTCTGGAAAATGCTCTGGCCCTTTGAGTGCCCATTTGGTAGGAGCACAGTCAGCATCCTGTCCAGAGCACAGCCCAGTTGTGCCACAGGGACTTCTGAAGAAATGGAAGGTATTCAGAGTGTTTGGAAGGGCAGCTTCCACGAGAGGGGGATCTGGGCTTCACTCATCACTCTGGAGTCACACTGAACCTCTAATTCTTTGCTCCTGCTGCTTTTCTTCGGGTTCATTTTCCTTTGTATAAATGATTGGAGATCTAAAAGCTGCTGGTATTGACTGGTAATAGGAACTGTATTTTAGAGTCTTGTGCTAGATGTCCATACTGACATCACTTCAGAGGCACACGCTCCTCCCGAGTTTTTAGAGCTGTGAGTAGCAGCAGAACAGTCCAGTCAAAGCCCTCCAGTTTTCCCACATTCGTATCAATAGGAAGCTTAATAAGCCTTTCCAATCACTTTACCAGGAAGACACAGAGATAAGTCGATATTGCAAGGAGATGGACCCCTGTCCTCTGCTCTGCTTTCTTTTTGAAGTTACAGCATGTACAAATTAGCTGCAACTAGTAAACTTTGAGGAAGTTACCAACACAATCATGAGCTAAACCTCAATGCTTCTGAGATTTATTTTGTATATGTGTCTCCAAGCACAGACATTTCACATCCTGGCCAACTTGGGAGATGAGGTCAACATTCCTAAGAGTCAGGTAAATGCCAGTGGAACCTTTCAGAGGCACATCAGATTGGAACACACAGCCATAGCAATCACACTTATAAACCTCACTCAATTACAGGCTTTTCAGCTCAGGATGAAAAACATGCCTGCCCTAAAGAAATGCATTTAGGCTTTCTCATTTCTGAGTAGTGAAAGAATTATGTCAGCCATCTATTATTGATCTCCTCAGGAAAGACAGCGTAAAACAAAGCAGCTCTGAAGATGCTACTACAATAAGGTTGTGCTGACTTGCTACCTTCATTTAATATTTTTACTTTAGAAAGAGTTCAACTTTTAGGAATACAGAAACATGCATTCAAAACATATCTTTAACTTAAGAGCAATTAGTCTTAATTTTTAATATAAGCATTCAGGACATCTCTAAAAAAATTGTAAGATCAACTGTCTGTACAGGACTAGTGATTGATGTGAAATGGTATAGGAACATTCCACTTCTGCAGCCTCCTGGGACACAAAAACCAAACTTCACAAGATAACTGTGCACAGCAAGAGACATTAAAGATTTTCTAGCAAATCATTAGTACAACTTTCCTGCCTATTTGCAGAGAAAACAATGAAAATGTTATTATATCACACTTTCCTGGGAGCCTCTCCCTCCCATCCTTCCAGCTTTTACTTAATTTTTGCTCCTATTAAATAAAACTTATTTCTCACCACAGAAGACATCTCACCCAGGAAAATAAATTAATATCTTTCTACCAATTACCAACACCTTCTAAATCTCTGGAGAAATTTTGCACAGCAATTAGCAACCTTCTAAGCAAACCTGGTCTAGCAGGAGAGGATTACCACCACCCTACCTCCCAAATTTCTTCAAATATCTCACCTTTAATCTGCTAAACCACCTTTTTGATGGGATTCAGTTAAAAATCATTAGCACAAATGGCCAACACCTGGATCTTCATGGGGGGGGGGGGGGGGGGAGGGGGGGGTTTTGGGGGTTGGGAGGGTGGTGTCTTCACCAGGTATTTATTTAACAAGCTGCAGGTGGGGATTTTAAGGGTGGGGTTGTTTAAAAAGTTCTCCTCTGCAAAACTGTGAGATTCAGAATATCAATGTCTTTGTTTTTTAGTTTTCTCTCCTCTTCTTTCCTCTATTTTTTTTTTTTTTTTTAAAGGCCAGTTTTATTGTCACATATGGGATAGATGGGGTTGCGCTTCGCAATGATTACTGGCAACTACATCTTCTTCAAGGGAAGCAACTACCACTGTG